GTCATATAGTTCGGCAAGCTCAAAAGCACACGAGTTAATTAGTTCTCTGGCTTTTGCAGCACTTACTAGTGTTATTCTATTGTTTCCCCTGACCAGGTTAGTTATAGAGCTTAAATGAAAAGCCACTCACTCTAAACTTGAGAGAAGGACAAAGTTGGCGATCGTTGTCGCTTGACTTCTCACCGCTCACTTCGAAATTATAATTTTGAACACGCGATTCTGGCACATGTCGGACCTTAAAAAAGGTTCTATAATGTGTGTGATTATAGTCGAAAAAAAAAGATGAGCGTACCACATTACGCGGAGCAGGAGAGTGATTTTGAATCCTTGACGGCCTAAAAATAATTTTTCAGAATTGCGAAGTCAATTTATTTCTTAAATTGGGTGTACGATAATAAAACACACATTGTAGAAACAGCTGACCGAGCTGGCAAGGAACGGGCCATTTGTGCTGTGCTGCCTAGTAAGGATACTGCATTTATACCATCATCTCTTGTTTGAGGTTGCGGCCGACCCTTTTCATACGGCAGTCTCACCGGCGGTCGTGGAGAAGATATAGGAGTCACCTGTGTATAATATAATCATGGAAAAAAATCAACCACAGACGAAGAATTTACTCTGGGGAGACCATATAATTTAAATCTAAGAAGCACTTGTACTCAGCACCTGCTTCCCGCCCGCATTCTAAAAGAAGCGAGAAATTGCTTTTCTATATAGATTCGTTGTAGGACCCATGACTTTATGCTGCGAACAGTAAAGACCATGTCATTTGACTTTCCATATTCACTTGATGACTAGGCACTGAGAATTCCCAGTATCTAATCATTTAGACGAACCGACTGGAGATTTATGCACAAACTTGAATCAATTTGGAGCAAAAGATGAAGGGCTGGATGAATCAATGAATCATCGAAAAGTGTTGGGCTGATAAACAATGGGGAGTACTTGGGAAAACATCTTTCATTCAAGTAATAGTAAGATATCTATATAGGGCTTACCGTTTGAACATAAGGAAGATTCGTGTTGGACTTAATTCGGTTCGGCGCTATGTATGTTTGGGGTCTTTCTTCCATTGGACGCATCCCATAGTAGCGAATGTTTTGATTGTTGTTTAACACTCCTTCATCGGTCCTTGTGGTTCCAATCCCTGAAAAAGAATATAAATCGACCAAGGTCATACTCAATATCTTCTCACTATCAAAAAATTTTCTTTTTTCTGCAGCTAGAGGACTCAGAACAGAAATAAGCGANAATCGAATCCTTAGTTGCCCGGATTTCTCGAGGGAATCTAAAACTGAAATGGGCAAAAGTCACGCATAATAACTTATGGATTTAAAAAAGGTTCATTTCAAATAAACTCAACACCACTGCGGTTACCCTGTGAGTTTTGGAAGAAGGAAAAGTACTCCAGTTTGCTGAGGCGTATTTAAAGGGGTGAAATAGAGATGAATGGGTTGTAAATACTCGAGTAATGGAAAAATTTAAATTAAACTCAAGTAAGCAAATAAGCTGGCTTACCTAAAGCACCCAAATCCAAAGGTTTTGCATTGACAATAGCAACTGAAGCTAAAGCAGAGCCATTAAGCGGAGCACTTGGACGACTGTCTTCATCGTCGGAATCCAAAATGATTACCTCAGTCTCCATCTGAAATTCACAAATATTTCATAAACTTCACTTCGACGTGAGGTTACACTACACAACAATACCGTCGGCCACAAATACAAATCCTTCAGACGTCAAACAACATCATGTCCGGGTAAAAGAAGCTCTAATGACAATTGAAAACAAATATTGCATTAGGAAAGTGCGGCGATTCTTCAACGCGCAGCGACTTCCGCAGTATCGATCGCCTAGCGACGAGATGTGGGGGCGGCACCATCGACCTGCCCCCGTATCCATACAAACCATGAATATCGATCGATGCCCACCCTTGGGCGAGACGACGTCATGGAATGTCAGGCGATGACGGAATGCGAGGGGCGTTCGAAGAACTGGTTGGCACCGACTGCTTTATGGGGGTAGAGCTAGCGAGCTTGGGGTTGGTATGGGTATATAGCCTTCCCAGAAAGCTTCAGGCTTGAGTAGTGATATCGAGATCATGAAATGAACTCAGTTGATGAGTTACGCACTACCTACTAGGGTACTAGCCCACTATATGACCATGCCATCCTTTCTTATTGTTTACGCTGCTTCCCGAAACGAACAATGGATGACGGTACCTTTGGCCGGCCGACTGGCTAACTAATTGCGCGTAACTGCATTGTGATTTTCTAAAACTCTGTAGCAGATGATGAGATTGTTTGGAATTCTTCTAATGAATGAAGCGGAGAGCTAATGAAGCGACTAACTTTATGCTCATTTCTAGGAACTCCCATGGACGAGTTTCTGACATTTCCAACTCTTTACTATTTTTTCTGCTGGTAATCTAACGAAGACTCAAATCAAGTCCAGAGTATAGAGTGATAGTTGTTGGAAGGTTTTCAAAAGCATGAGTACTTAAGTTGAAACAGAAAACGATTCAAAACACGTGATGATTCGTTTCGTGATTCGTTTCTAAGCTATTGGACGAGTTTCCCGCATACACGCGCTCCATCATTAAACAACGTGAGCGTGTCAGTGATAACCAACAAATCCTAGTCTAAATACCGAAATAGAGCCAGGAAGGGAAGCTACGAAAGGACAACTTCATCGCGAAAGTCACTGACGCGTCTCCCGCGCAACAAATCACCTGCCACCGAAGAACTCGCCCACCCAGTTTGTCATGCCCAATGTTGGTCCCACAGCGATCCATCCCACTCCTGTTTTTGTACAAATAAGAACTAGATGTATGCTTAGCAGTTATGTCATGCAATGGATGGAAGAACCTTATCAATCGAGTAATCAACAGAAGACTTACTAACAACTTTAACGTTACAGAAGACGTAACAGACGCGTCGAAACCACGCGCATCGCGCTCAGTGGTATCTATTGTTCGTGACAGGACGCCTCAGTTCCAAGCAGGTGTAAGGTCCTAGAGCGACTGACCAAGCACGCTGTTGACGCCACTTGAAGCCGGTCCTTTGAAATGTGCCGACCACGCCCAATTTTCTGCTCTAGTCTAACGCACTCCCACCAAACACCCATCGCTCTGAGCTTCACAGGCTGCCGTCAGAGTCCACCGGCATTCCACCCGAGCGCAGGTGTCGGCCGGTGGCGGCGCTAGCCACTTGTTGGCAGCACAGTACGCCGATATATCACGTGCCAGTGTTCTCTACAAGTGGCTAGCGCCGCCGCCGGCCGGCACGTGCGCTCAGAAGGCATACCGGCGAACTCTGAAAGGGGGGGGGG